CAAGACGGCCTGGACCTGTCATTAACTGTTGGTTCCCCTCTGTCCTCAAGTGTTTCAGCTCCCCTCGTTTTCATATACTGGACAAGCAAGTAAAATTTGTATGGAAAAGCAAGTCATTGACTGAAACAAACATAGGTTATCATCTTATCTACAAATGCCTCACTGGTCCAAGTTACTACATGTGCTACTACTAGACCAGAACTTGGCTATAACTGAACAAAATCCAGTTCTGTCTCAGAAAAATGCAATTGAGGTGGGGTTTGGGAACCTCACCTCTTGTTCTCTTTAGGTCAGTGGCTCCATCTTCAGGAGTAGCCATGTTGGTCAGTCTGTGGGCACATAAGCCACCTTTGTCCCTGGGGTCAGAGGGCTTCAGTGAGGGAGCAACCTCCTCTGTCCTTAGAGCAGTTGTCACAGAATCCAATCTTGAGTACATCTGCTGCTCTTTAGGGTTGCACACAGGATTTTGCAGTAATGTTTATTATAGGCCAACCAGTTCAGCAAATGTGTCAGGCATCTGTTATAAACTAGGAATGGTAAGGGATTAAACAGTAAGTGTATTCTTTATATAGTGTTTTTCAAGTGGTATAAAGGAGGGCATATCCCACACACTCTCAAAATGCTGTTCTGTTCAGAAAGTGATACCTGTTCCCACTTCCAAGGTATGTGTTCCACTGTGTGGAGGATAGCAAAGAGTACACAGTACCTGCCAGCAGGAGCAGCAGTCCTATATGTCAATCCACCACATGGTTTGCAGGTGTCAGAGTTGCCAAGAAAGACATGACTCAGGCACTGGGTAGAACAACAGTTTACTCACATATAGAAGAGGAAGAGCAAGATCAGATTCAATAGTATTAGTCCCCCATGGCCAGCAGATTTCATCCCACAGCCAATGCAGGGAGATGGAGATGTGCATCCCTCTTGTGCTTCAGGTAAAAATCTTGTTTTCTCTCGTCAAGAACAAGTACAACAGGTTGCCCGAGTGCCATGTAAAGCATACACTTAAGCAGAACAAAGGAGTACACATCAAGCCCAGAATAGAAAAGATTCTCCCAAGCAAGGCAATATGCCCAGTATAGGCTATGACCAGTCCTCATCTCCAAGTAAGGAAATGTTTCAGGCCCCGGGCACATTCTGACACAACCATGCCAAGTAAAGCAAGCTGCATGACTGCCTTTCCCAACATTCTCCACATACCAAAAAGTAGTAGGTTGGCGGGGTAGGATATATGTGAAAAAGTACCTATTGTTTTTGCAATATAAACAACAGAGAGTAAACTTCAATATTAGCATCTCAGCTGGTGAGGATGTAAACAAAGTGCAGTGATTTTCAAAGGTGGTAGTGTATATGAAGCTGGAAATGTAGAAATGAAATAAAGCAAGAGAAGGCAAATTGAGATGAGTGTCAGAACTTACCTCAGGAAAATCTTATAATGAAGTATCAAGAAGTTGCCTTTTCCAATGGGTGATAACAGTGAATTTTCCAACAGTGACACTCATCATGGACTTCTAATCAAGATGGTGGTGGAGGTAAACATGGCTCACCTCCTCAACAAGCACATCAAAATTGCAACTAAAATATAGAACAACCATCACTCTTAACCATCAGAAATAGAGTTGAATGGATGTCTGACAACTACAGAATTAAAGAAACCACATTCATCTAGACTGGTAGGAGGGGCAGAGATGCAGAATGGGCTGCTCCAATATCCACATGTGGTAGACTAAAATTCAGGAGGAATACCTCAGGAGCAAAGGAGTCTCAACCCCACACCAGGATGCCCAGCCCAAGGTACCTGTGCTCCAGTGTCAGGAAGATAAATCCTCATGACTTCTGGCTGCAAAAACTAGTGGGGATTAAGACAGTGGAAGAAACTGTTGGAGCCCCAAGCAGTTACCTTTAAAGAACTGAAACACGGACTTACTCAGACTCCCTCCCTCTGAGCTCTGGCACTGGGGTAGCAGATTGAAAGTTACAGTGGCATATAGGGAGGAACTGAAGTATTTGGCATCAAGATGAGAGTTGCAGAACAGCTTTTTCCGAGACAGAGAGGTGGGCAGAGGTCCTTGTCCCCTCTCTGAGTCTTTCCCACAAGAACCACAGAGCCAACAGGTGGGTGCCATACCTGAGATTCCATCAAGCTGGCTAACACTGTTTGCCCCTCCCTGGAAAGCCCCTGAGGCTCTGTTCCACCTAATCTATGGGCCCACACAAGCTGTTAATAGTGACTTGTCCATAAGAATGGCTGATCTTGGCTCATGCTACACAACTTACTAAATCCTATCATACAGCCTACAGCTGGGGTTTGTAAGCCCCCAGTTCCCTATCTTGTTAAGTGGCTCCAGGCCTGACACTAGCAGCAGCCAGCCTAGATTCACAGCTTGACTTTGTTTGGGAATCTCCAAGCCCAGCACAAGTAGCAGCTATCTCAGATTTCTTTATAGCTCAGGCAGGGTGGCTCAGGGCAGAACATAGGTGGGGGTTGACCTGGCCCTGCACCATGCAGGAAAGCCAAGAGACTACACACCCAGTGGAAAGCTACAGACCACATCAGAGCACAACCGTCTTGACCCTGCACAGCTGATCCTCCATGGACAGCAGAGATTGGTGGTCAGTGGTCACAGTCAGTCCTTGCAGATGACTAGCCTGGGAAAATCCCTCCCATTGACCTGCCAACAGCGACCAAGAGGAGGGTATACTCAGCCCACTCAAAGGGCACCCTTCAAGTACCCAGCTTGGGTGACAGGGAAGACTGTGCCACTGGACTCTAAAGGATACTTACTACATTGGGCCGTGCTACCAAGAGAATGAGTCATAGCAGCTCTACCTAATACATAGAAACAAACACAGGGAGGATGACAAAATGAGGAGACAAAGAAACATGGCCCAAATGAAAGAAAAGACCAACATTCCAGAAAAAATAACTAAACAAAATGGAGATAAGTATCTATCAGATTCAGTGTTCAAAACAGTAGTTATAAGGCTGCTCAGGAAACTTAGTAAGGATCTCAACAGCATAAAAAATATCCAGTGAGAAATGAAGAATGCACAAATTGAAATAAAAACAATTCACGGGGAAACAACAGTAGAGTTAATGAAGCTGAGAATCAAATCAATTATTTGGGACATAAGAAAGCAAAAAACATCCAATCAGAAAAGCAAGAAAGAAAAAAGAATTAAAAAAAAACAACAAGGATAGTGTAAGCAGCCTCTGGGAATTTTCCAGATTTACCAACATCCTTCTCTAGAAGGAGAGAAGGAACAACAATAAATTGAATACCTATTTGAAAAAGTAATGAAAAAATTTCTCTAATTTGGCAAAGGAAATAGACATTCAAGTCTAGGAAGCACAGAGTCACAAAGAAGATGGCTACAAAGAGGGCCACTCAAAGACACATCATAATTAAAATGCCAAAAGTTAAAGATAAAGAGAGAATCTTAGAAACAGTAAGAGAATAGCAGTTAGTCACCTGCCGGGGATTTCTCATAAGACTGATAGCTGATCTCTCAAAAGAAACTTTGCAAGCTAGAAGGGATTGTTAAGAATTCAAAGTCATAAAAAGCAGGGACCTACAGCCAAGATTGCTCTATTCAGCAAAGATATTATCATTTAGAATCAAAAGACAGATAAAGAGCTACTCAGACAAGAAAAAAAAGTAAAGAAGTTTATCACCACAAAATCATTATTATGTGAAATGTCTTGTATTTTCCCCATTTGCCCCCCAACACCCAGCTCCCCACATGTTGGGGACCGCCTCTGCCTGGTTTCAGGAGTTGTAACAGCCTCCCATGGCTAAGACTGAATGAATGACCTCCAGAATGTGAGCCACAAGGAGATAAACCTTGTCTCTGCTTCCTCCCCTGCCCCCAAAGCTTGGTTTGTTAGTCAGAGATGGGTACGACTCCTCAGAGGAGGATCAACCTAAGCCAGACACGATCACTTGGGTTGCCATCATGGAAGGACTCAGGGGGCTGAAACAAAGAGGGAGTGATGGACCATTGCCCCACAGCCATCCTGACATAGCCCAGGTCCCCCATCCTCTGGAAGAAGCACTTCCTGGCTCTAATCCCCTTAAACCTGAAAACCTGTGATTGGGGAGGCAGTGCAGCCTCTTGCTGGCTAGAGCAGGATCTGGGGTGATTGGGCATAAGGAAGAATTTCTAAAAGTCCTGTGAAGCCTGCTTGGCTAAGAGTGCTTTCATTCATATGAAAAAGGTTTGAGCAGGAAATGAGTATGTCTCCCAAAGTTTCTTCAACCCCTTTTCCTGACAAACACTGACTCAGACTAAGCCCTCAGATTTCCTTGAAATGTTATCTACTGTTTGATCCTTACCGCCTGTATTCCTGTGCATTACAACCCAATAAAAGCCATTGAGGAAGGGGCTTCTGGCCCTTTTCCTCTGAGAGATTGGCCACCTCTCCTCCCCAAGCAGATCATGTCTTGGTAGTTTTACTTTCATCTGTGGTGAACGTGAGGACTTGCTGGCAAAGTTGCCCCCTCACCCACAACTCCTTCAGGCAATTCCCACACCATTGTCCATGTCCATGGGTCACACATATATTCCTTATGCTCTACTTTACATCTCCATAACTTTTCTTTAGCTACCATTTTGTACCTCTAATCCCTTCACCTTTCTCACCCATCCCCCCAAACCCACCTAATTTGGAAACCAACAAAACGTTCTCTGTATTTACAATTCTGTTTCTGTTCTGCTTATTCATTTATTTTGTATTTAGATTCAATTATTGATAGATACATATTTATTGCCACTTTATTGTTTATATATTTTATCTTTTCCTAAAAGAAGACCCTTTAACATTTCATACAATAAATACTGTTTTGGTGATAACTCCTTTAGCTTTTTCTTGTCTGCTAAGTTTTTATCTGTTCTTTGACTCTAAATGCTAACTTTGTTGGGTATAGTAATCTTGGTTGTAGGTCCTTGCTTTTCTTCGCTGAATATTTCTTGCTGGTCTCTTCTGGTATACAGAGTTGTTGTGTTTGTTTGTTTGTTTGTTTTTAGAAATAAGCTGACAGTCATAAGACAACTCCTTTGTAGATAACTAACTGCTTTTCTCTTGCTGCTAAGATTCTCTCCTTGTCTTTAACCTTTGGCATTTTAAATATAATGTTTCTTAGTTGGGCTTTTTTGCATTCATCTTGTTTGGGACTCTCTGCACCTACTGGACTTGTCTGTCTATGTACTTCACCAAGTTAGGGAAGTTTTCTGTCATTATTTTTCAAATAGGTTTTCAATTTCAATTTCTTGCTCTTTCTCTTGTCCTTTCGACATTCATGATGTAAATGTTGGTGTGCCTGAAGTTGTCTCAGAGACTTCCTACACTGTCTTCATTGTATTTGGACACTTTTTCTTTCTTGCTGTTCTGATTGGGTGTTTTTTGCTTCTTTATATTCCAAACCTCTGATTTGTTTCCTCGTAAGTTATTCATTTCAATTAGTATATTCCTTCTTTCCTGGCTGTATCTTTTTTATGCTATTGAGGTCCTCACTAAGTTCCTTGAGTATCCTTATAACCAGTGTTTTGAACTCTGCATCTAGGAGATTGATTGTCCTCATTTGTTTAGTTCTTTTTCTGTAATTTTGTTCTGTTCTTTCATTTGGGCCATGTTTCTTTGTCTCCTCATTTTGTCATCCCCCCTGTGTTTGTTCCTATGTATTAGGTAGATGTGCTACATCTCCCAAGCTTGATAGAATGGCCTATGTTATGGGTGTCCTGCAGGGTCCATTAGCACAGCATCCCCTATCACCCAAGCTGAGGTGTGCCCACCATGTGGGCTGTGTATGCCCTCTTGTAGTTGAGTCTTGATTGCTGTTGGTACATCTTAGTTTATTCACCTTCCGTGTTCTCTCTGGGGCTACCCAGGATAAGCTACAGAGTGGTTGCTACTTGTGCTGGCAGTGGAGTGGCCCAGGTAAGGCCCATCTTTAATCCAAGGCCGGTTGCTGTTAGTGCTGGGCTGGAGCCACTTATTGAGAAGTGTGGGCCTCATGAGGCCAGATGCTGCTTTTTTGAGAGAATTTAGAAAACATGTGAAGCATGAGCCAAGACAAGGCATTTATATGGATAAGCCACTGTAAACATCTTAAGTGGGCTGGAAAGATGGGTGGAGCAGAGCCTCAGGGAATCACCAGGGTGGGGCAAAAAGGGTGGCCCACCAGGGTGGGCCAAAGCCCTGGGTGGTGTAGCTCAGTGGATTGAGCACAGGCCTGTGAACCAGAAATTGCGGTTCAATTCCCAGTCAGGGCACTTGCCTGGGTTGCAGGCCAGTTCCCTACAGGCCAGTTCCCAGCAGGGGGTGCACAAAAGGCAACCCATTGATGTTTCTCTTCCTCTCTCCTTCCCCTCTAAAGATAAATAAAAATTTTAAAAAGTGTAAAAAAAAAGTGTGAGCCAGGTTGGATTCTCAAATATAGCTTCCACCTGCCAGCTCTGTGTGGGGAGGGCTCAGCAAAGGAAGAATGGCTTCTGCCAGCACTTCCTTCTGAGGGAATGTTGACACCCAGCTCTTGCCCTGATGCCAGATAATTCTCTTCCTCCCTGCATGTCTCTGGTGCCTTTCAAGCTGCTGCCTCTGCACTGGAACTCAGAGAGAGTGAGTATGAGTAAGTCCTTGCATGGACCCTTTAAGAGAAACTGCCTGAGACTCCAGAAGTTTCTGTTTTCCTCAGCCTCAATCCCCATTGGTGTGTACAGCCAGAAGTTATGAGGACTTATCTTCCTAGCACTAGAACTCTGGGCTGGGGGGCCTGGTATGGGGCTGGAACTCCTCACTCCTGAGATAACCCAATTCTTATTCACCACATGTGGATGGGGGACTAGGCTATTCCCCATTTCCACCCCTCTGACCAATCTTGATATGGTTTCTATTTTAATTCCATAGTTGTAGAACTTCCATTCAGCTCAATTTCTGTACATTCTAAATTGTGGTTGTTCTAAAATTTAGTTGTGATTTTGGTGTGGTTGTGGGAGAGGTGAGCTGTGTTCACCTACACTGTCATTGTGACCAGGAGTCTCCTCTGTAATTTAGTTTTAAGAAAAAACAGAAACCTCTAGGACTTTCACATCAGATCAAATTTCTGGGGAACTCTCACTAGAAGAAAAGGAAATAAAAATGAAAGGAAGAACATACCTTGTCAATGGTATTTGAATTCACAATTAGTTTCTGTGTGGTATCCAGTACTTTCTCTGATTCCAGAGATTTTTTTTACCTTTGATTCTGTCAAGTACTTCAGTATCCTTCCAATAAATTCCATTTGGGTCTTAAGCTACTTTGCATTCAATTTCTTTCTTTAAAACAAAACGTCCTTTGCCCTGGCTGGTGTGGCTCAGTGGATTGAGTGCCAACTTGCAATCTGAAAGGTTGCCAATTTGATTCTTAGTCAAGGCACATGCCTAGGTTGCAGGCCAGGTACCCAGTTAGGTGCATGTGAGAGGCAACTGATTAATATATCTCTTGCACATCGATGTTTCTCTCTCTCTCTTTATCCTTCTCTTCCCTCTCTCTAAAGATAAATAAATAAAATATTTAAAAATAAAAAAACATGCTTCATAACAGTACATTTTTATAGATAAGACTTTTAATTCTGGACTCAGACTGAAGACATTCAAATTCTAGTTCTATGCTCCTTCTCAGTTGTAGATCCTTGTAAGTCACCCAACATCTCTGTCAAAGTTTATTGCCTGAGAAGGAGTCCTCTCAGTTTCTTATAGATTTATAACTCTATCATCAGGAAGCCTTATGTACATATTCAGTTAAGAAATTCTGACTTTCTAGGATGGACCATTTGGAGGCCAATTTGCATAAGGACCTAATGTAGACTCAGTGAGAAAGTATCAAGAGGGCCTTGTGAAAGATGGTTAGGCCACTTAGATTAAAACTGTAAACGACAAGGTAGCTCTGAGCCAAAACTATTTTTATAATTCAATTTTCTTGGCTATCCTCCTTAGATTACTATAGTTTGAGAAAGTAAGGGCTATAATTTTTAATTTTTTTATTACAGAAAGTATAAGACATATACATATTAAACAAAAGAGTATAATAAACCCTCATTTAACCATCATTCAGCTTCAGCAATTACTATTTTGCCATTCTTATTTTATCTATATTGCTAAACAATTCTCATCCACAGTTAAATAATATAATTTCTATGTTTATTTTTAAAGTAAAATTTACATACATTGAAATGCATACATCTTACCTATACAATTTTGACAAAAGGATGCACCTGTGTAACCCTACACCTGTAACACAATTTGAGCCTTCCCAGAAGTTCCACTTGTGCTTCTTCTCAATCATTAACCTCCTAAAATCAGCAGCAATTATGTTGTTTTTATCTCCACAGGTTAATTTATTTTTTCTGTTCTAGAGTATTATACACATGGAATCAAACAACATGTACTCCTTTGTGACTGGTTCCTTTCATTCAACATAAGGTCTATGAGAGTCAACCACACTCTTGTGCTCACCAGCAGTTCACTTCCTTTCATTGTCATGTAGGAATTGCTTGTAGAACACAGCCCACTTTGTTTACCCATTCACTGTCAACGCACATTTGTGTCATTTCCACTTACTGACTAGTGTGAATTAAGTTGCTATGAACACATCACTTTGAACACATATATTTCATTTCTCTTGGGTAAAGAGGAGTAGAATTGCCAGCTTAAGAGGTACACGTATATGTCAAAACTTTTCTGTTGTTCATTCCCACAAGCAATATGTGAGAGTTTTGGTTACTCCATTTCATTCCCACATTTAGTATTGTCAGTCTCTTTAACTGTAGTCACTCTAATGGATATGTACTGCTATCTAATTGTAGCTTTAATTTGCAATTCTTTGCATAGTTTGATGACTAGTGATATTGGACACCTTTTTGTGTGTTTATTGGCCCATATACTTTTTTTTCAAAGTGTCAGCTTTACTCTTCTGTCCACTTAAAAATTTGAGCTGTTTTATACTTTGCCTCAGTTTTATTGGACTGTAATCGGCATACAGCACTATGTAAGTTTAAGGTGTTAGCATAATGACTTACATATATTTTGAAATGATGACCATAAAGTTTAGTTAACATCCATCATCTCATATAGTTACCACAAAAAAAAAAAAGAAATGAAGAGGAAAAAAAGCTTTTTTTTTTCTTGTGATGAGAAGTCTTAGGTTCTAACGACTTTTAAATATACCATATAGCAGTTTCAACAATAGTCATCATGATGTGTATTATAGCACTACTACTTATTTATCTCACAACTGGAAGTTTGCATCTTTTGCCCAACTTCCTCCAATTTCCCCACTCCCTGTTAACTTTGTTATTACATGTTATCCTTTATGCATATTATCAGATTTGATGTGTTACTATTTTGTTGAGAAATTTTTGCATTTATTCATGAGAAGTTTTAATCTACACTTTTTTCTTGTAATAAAGGCTATATTTTTATGAATAAGTAATATGAAAATGACTGGGCATATGGGGGAGTATATTGAAGTTGGTGGGTTTTTTGGTGACTCTCCAATTGTATGAGGAGATAATCAGCCCCTCTACTTCAAGACACATTTTATGTATATGGTTTTCTTAAACATTGCTTTGAAAATATAGTTGGTAAAGTATCTTAGGTGATTTCATTGACTCAATCCAATTGATTACACAGCAGATTTGATAAACTGGATGTAAAAAAATTATTAAATTAGCAAAAGAAAGGATTCAGACATATGTAATATATTCAGATAGATGGATAGATGATAAATAGATAGATAGAAGATAGATGATAGATAGATAGATAGATAGATAGATAGATAGATAGATAGATAGATAGGAGAGGGAAAAGAGAACAAGAAAATAGTTTTTTTCATTTCATTTTTATCTTCTTACATTTAGATCTGTAAATTTCAAAATGAAAAAATTCAACTTACTGGGATTTGAAGACAGAGTTTTCGGGTCATCTCAGTCATCTTTATGCAGAGAAACATCTTAAAAAGCAGTAAAATCTGGCTGGCAGGGCCTTATTAATGACAAATTTGGATGGAGTTTTTTTTGTTTTTTTAATTTTATTTAGTTATTTTTCAAGTACAGTTTTTTGTCTATTTCTCCCATCCCAGCCCCTCCCTGCCCCATCCCCCCACCTCCCTCCCATTTCCTCCCCCACCCCCAGTCCTCATTCCTGTGTCTTTCATACTTGTTCCTCAAAATCCCTCCCCATTTTTCCCCTTAAATTCCCTTCCCTCTCCCCCCTGGTCACTGCCCACTTGTTCTCTATTTCAGTGTCTTTGTTTTTATTCTGTTTGCTTGTTTGTTTTGTTGTTTAGCTTCCTGTTAAAGGTGAGATCATATGGTATTTGTCTTTCAATGCCTGGCCTATTTCACTCAGCATAATGCTTTCCAGTTCCATCCATGTTGTTGCAAAGGGTAGTAGCTCCTTCTTTCTCTCTGCTGTATAGAATTCCATTGTGTATATGTACCACAATTTTTTGATCCATTCATTTACTGATGGGCACCTAGGTTGCTTCCAACTCTTGGCTATTGTAAATTGTGCTGCTATGAACATTGGGGTGCATAGGTTCTTTGAAATTGATGTTTTAGGATTCTTGGGATATAATCCTAGCAGTGGAATTGCTGGGTCAAAAGGCAGGTCGATTTTTATTTTTCTGAGAAAATTCCATACTGTTTTCCATAATGGTTGTACCAATCTGCAATCCCACCAACAGTGAACTAGGGTCCCCTTTTCCCCACACCCTCTCCAACATTTGTTGTTTGTTGCTTTGTTTATTATAGCCATCCTGACTGGTGTAAAGTGGTATCTCATGGTGGTTTTAGTTTGCATCTCTCTGATAGCTAACGATATTGAGCATCTCTTCATGTGTCTCTGGATATTCTGTATGTCCTCCTTGGAGAAGTGTCTGTTCAAGTCCTTTTCCCATTTTTTAATTGGGTTAGATGTCTTCCTAGAGTGGAGTTGTGTAAGTTCTTTGTATATTTTGGAGATTAAACCTTTGTCTGAGGTATCAGTGATGGAGTTTTTTGAACAGTTCTTTGGCCTAGTTTTCATTTGAGGGCTTCTTTTGAAAATCCACTGTCCCACATGACTATCCTAACTGGGAAGGGGGGGGGAGATCCTTATATCTGATAAGAACTAGAAGGATAAAAGTGAACAAATTGAGGGAAAAGAGACAAGATAAGTGTTTCACATTGTTTTCAGATGTGAAGACAGGGGAAGAAAATGGCACTAATGTGTTAAAAACACGTGTTTCGACAAAACTGACACGAAGTCTTTGAAGTGGGCTGCCTCCTGAGACAAAAAGTGTCCTTGTCCTTACTAAAGAAGGACAAGTTTGAAACCAGAGATACAGAGGAAGACATATGTTCAAGACTGTGCTTTAAGAATGTAATTTTAATAGTAAAATCTCTAGTAATAATGGAACTGTTAAAAATCATAGAATGTATATAATGCAAATACTGAAAATCATATTCAGTAAGTATATGCAATGTCATAGGAAATGCTATGTCAAAATGTAACAATAAGTCCATATACATGCATCCAAATACTGTGAATCAAAGAAAAGTAGTTAATTAAAAATAATTAAAAATAAGAACCTTTAGACACTAGGTATATATGCATAGAATAAATTCTCAAAGGAAATTACTAAACTAATAGGTAATAGGTTTTGTCTCTGTGTGACAAGTATATATGTAATTTTGTCTTTTCAGAGTTTTCTGTTCTTTTGAATTATTTTTTAAAACTTGTATTATTTTTCTAATAATATTTTTTATTTGGCCTGGGAAATGTGTCACATGATAGAAGGGAATACTTTTTCACTGGACCTTAAATATGTACTTGTGAAATAGCCAGGTATTTAAAGTCAAGGGCTAGCTGTGTTTTAGTTCAGACAATGTACTTGGCCTCTTAGTGTTTTGGTGAAAGTTCCCATGAGCCAAGTTTGGGTTTTAAAGGGAGTTTCAGGCAGCCACATCCTAACAGCTTGACCACTCTCATCTCTGGCATGGAGGGCTGCCAGCTGCCTCACTCCCACTACTCTGAACACTGCAGGCTGTAAGTTTCCCAGTCACCCTGCTCTGTTGGTGGCTTCATAAGCAGGCTGTTGTGTAGTAGACCTTTGGCTCTGATAAACACTGGGTACTGTTTTGCACACAAGCCAGATATACTCTAGACAATCAACTCATTCTGAAGCCAGCATATACTCATTCAATCCTGCTATTTAGACCTACGTAGAGAGGAAAATACTGGGCGCTCTGCTGCAGAAGACCTGGGTGTGAGTCTGTGCTTGACACTGGGAAGATCTCTGACTACCTGTGGACTTCCATAGCTCATCTATGAACAGGTAAATCAAATAACCTTTTCCATACCTCTGCATCAATTGTTGTGAATTTCAAAAAGTGTATGTGTTATCAACAAACCAATTTTAAGTTCTATATAAAAAGGCAAAAAACTCAGAATAGCCAACACAAAATTGAAGAAGAACAAAGTCAGAGCACTGAACTATGCAATTTTAAGACTTACTATAAAACTAAGTAATCAAGACAGTGTGGTATCGGTAAAAGAACAGACAAATAAATCAATGGAACAAGAAAGTCCAGAAATACACCCACACAAATATAGTTAACTGATTTTTGACAAAGGTGCAAAGGCAATACAATAGAAAAGAGTCTTTTTAACAAATGATGCTGGAACAACTGGAAATCCACATACCAAAAAAAAAAGAGAGAGAGAAGAAAGAAAAAAAAGGAATCCCAACACTGACATTACACCCTTTACAAAAATTAACTTAAAGTAAATCATATACCTAAATGTAAAATGTAAAACCATAAAATTCCTAGATAAGAACATGGGAGAAAATCTAGGTTAGCTTGGGTTTGGCGATGACAAAAGCACAATTCATGAAAGAAAAAATCAGTAAATTCAACTTCATAAAAATTAAAAACAATGCTTTGTAAAAAACATTGTTAAGAAAAGAGCCAGCCAAGATGGAGGCATAGGTAGACACACTGTGACTCATCACACAACCAAAAGAAGGACAATAAATTTAAAAACCAAAAAAACAACCAGAACTGATTTAAAATGAAACTGAATGAAAATCGAACAACCAGGGAGTTAAAGAAAAAACATTCATCCAGACTGGTAGGAGGGGCAGAGACCAGCAGCCATTGTGGAGAGGAGTTGTGGCAAGGTGGTGGCTGGTGGACCTGGTGAGGCAGTGGATTGTGGACTGGGTAGTTCCACATTCACTTGAAGATAAACCAAGAGGAACAAATGGGGAGGAAGATGGACTGTGCAACCCTGAGTTTCAGCATGGGGAAATAAAGCCTCAAACCTCTGACTGAGAACACCTATGGGGGTTAAGGCAGCAGCAGGAGAAACTCCCAGCCTCACAGGAGAGTTTGTTGGAGAGACCCACACAATCCTAGAATGTACACAAACCCACCCACCTGCGAATCAGCACCAGAAGGGCCCAATTTGATTGTGGGTGGTGGGGGAAGTAACTGAAAACAAGCAGTGCGAAGCAAGCTGCATTGTTCCCTTTCAGACCCCTCCCCCACATACAGCATCACAAAGCAATGACCTGGGTTGTCCCACCCTGGTCAATACCTAAAGTTCCACCCTGTACTATGTAACAGGGACACATAGAAAAAAAATGGCCCAAATGAAAGAACACATCAAAGCTCCAGAAAAATACAACTAAGTAATGAAGAATTATCCAACCTATCAGATGTAGAGTTCAATACACTGGTAACCAGGATGCTCACGGAATTGTTTGAAGATGGTCACAAATTAGATGAAAAAATGAAGGCTATGCCAAGTGAAGTAAAGGAAAATGTACAGGGAACCTGTGGGGGTGACTTTGCCCACAAGTCCCCCCATCCACCACAGATGAAAGTAACACTACCAAGACATGACCTGCTTGGGGAAAAGAAGTGGCCAATCTCTCAGAGGAGAAAGGCCAGAAGCCCCTTCCTCAATGGCTTTTTATTGGGTTGTAATGCACAGGAATACAGGCAGTAAGGATCAAACAGTAGATAACATTTCAAGGAAATCTGAGGGCTTAGTCTGAGTCAGTGTTTGTCAGGAAAAGGGGTTGAAGAAACTTTGGGAGACATACTCATTTCCTGCTCAAACCTTTTTCATATGAATGAAAGCACTCTTAGCCAAGCAGGCTTCACAGGACTTTTAGAAATTCTTCCTTATGCCCAATCACCCCAGATCCTGCTCTAGCCAGCAAGAGGCTGCACTGCCTCCCCAATCACAGGTTTTCAGGTTTAAGGGGATTAGAGCCAGGAAGTGCTTCTTCCAGAGGATGGGGGACCTGGGCTATGTCAGGATGGCTGTGGGGCAATGGTCCATCACTCCCTCTTTGTTTCAGCCCCCTGAGTCCTTCCATGATGGCAACCCAAGTGATCATGTCTGGCTTAGGGTGACCCTCCTCTGAGGAGTCGTACCCATCTCTGACTAACAAACCAAGCTTTGGGGGCAGGGGAGGAAGCAGAGGCAGCATTTGCTACCAGAGACAAGCTTTGTCTCTTCTGTGGCTTGCATTCCAGAGGTCGCTCACTCATCCTTAGCCATGGGAGGCAGTTACAATTCCTGAAAACAGGCAGAGCAGTTCCCAATAGGAACCAATAGTGATGGGAAGGAAACTGGAACTCAAATCAATGGTGTGGACCAGAAAGAAGAAACAAACATTCAACCAGAACACAATTGAGAAACAAGAATTCAAAAAAAATGAGGAGAGACTTAGGAACCTCCAGGACATCTTTAAACATTCCAACATCTGAATCATAGGGGCTCTCCTTCTTTACCAGAAGGAGAAGAGGAAGAACAAGAAATAGCAAACTTATCTGGGCAAATAATAAAGGAGAACTGCCCCAATCTGACAAAGGAAATAAACTTCTAGGAAGTTCAGGAAGCTCAGCGAGTCCCCAAGAAGTTGGACCCAAGGAGGAACACACCAAGGCACATCACAATTAATTACCCAAGATTAAAGATAAGGA